CCCAGATCCAAGGAGTGCATCCATGTCCTGGAACACCCCACCAGGAGGGGAAAACACCTGAGGCTGCAGCACAGCTCTGCTGGAAACAACGAAACTCTGGGTTGGGGTGTCCTGCAGAGCGAGGACCCCCATCCAGGCAGCCCCCAGCACCATCCCCACCCCAGAAAAGCACACTTCCACCTCGGAGCAAACACTCCAGGCAGCTGCTGCACCTTTCCTCCCGTTGCTGCTTCACCTCTTCCAGCTGGAATTCCATCTCAGGGTCCTCATTAACGCTCGGCAGCTCCGTGGCCGCTCGCCCGGGTTATCCCTCTCCCTCCCCCGCAGCATCCCCCCTCGGAGCGAGCTGATGGAGAGGTGCTGCCACTCACCGCTATCTTTTATTCATGGGCCTTGGCTCATTGTATTACTTTTTGACAGAAAGCCCCAATTCCCACATTTCCAGCGGCTCCCGAGGAAGACCCGGAGCTCTCATTTCTTCCGCCGGGAAACTCCATCACCCCGATGGCAAAGAGGAGCAAAGCCCCTCCTGCTCCTGGCAGGAGACAGATCCCTGACGAGGCTGATCCAGCCCCTGGAGGGTTTTTTGCCGGGTGAATAATGAGTTTCATAACTGCACAGGAGCCTGAGCTCCCACCTTTGCTCCTCCGCGGGGGAAGCGGCGGATTTCAGCAGCCAGGAAGGTTTTTTTGGGATGCTGGGAGCACAGGGAGGGGTTGGGCTGCTTGCAGGGCACGTGTGTGACCTCCTGCCCTTTGAACATTCACCCCTCCACAGCTCGGGGAGGTGGAGCAGTCCCAGGTGGGGAATGGAGCTGCACATTCCCCAGGGATCCGGCTCTGCCGCTCGCAGCAGCAAAGGGAGGCTCCATCCCTGTTCCCTGGGATTCTCCAGGTCCCACAGCTAATGAGGACATGCTGGGAGCAGCCCCCAGAGAACTGGGATTGTCCTGCTCCCTCTGCCAGCTGGGATCAGCCCATGGAGAGCTGGGATTCTCCAGGTGCCACTGGGATTCTCCAGGTGCCACACCTAACTAGGACATGTTGGGATCAGCCACCGGAGAGCTGGGGTTCTCCAGGTCCCACTGGGGTTCTCTAGGTCCCCCTGGGATTCTCCAGCTCCCACTGCCAACTGGGATCAGCACCCAGAGAGCTGGGATTCTTCAGGTCCCACTGACAACTGGGATCAGCCCCCACAGAGCTGGGATTCTCCAGGTCCCACTGCCAACTGGGATCAGCCCATGAAGAGCTGGGACTCTCCAGGTCCCCCCGGGACTCTCCAGCCCCCCCTTCCAGCCGTGCCCCCCCCTTTACCTGCACAGGTGATCCGCCCGGCAGGTGCCCCGCAGGTCCAGGCAGTTGGGCTTCTCCTTGTCCTCGTAGGAGCAGGAGGGGACGATGGTCTGGCGGCGGCGCTCGGCGCAGGCGCGGTCCTTGCAGGAGCAGAAGAGCAGGCGGAAGGTGAACTCGCCGGGCACGCGGTCTCGAGAACTTGGCGCAGGGCCTTGTGTTCACTTGGCGGCGCTGCAGGCTCGGGCCCGCCAGCTCCGCGGGCTGCACGTCGGAGATGTACCCGAGCGGCAGGCGCTTGCAGTTGTCGTTCAGTTGCAGGCCTTGGCCGCGTTCCAGATGGTTGCTCTGGACGGGAGGCGGGCTGGGGTCCATCCCTGCGGAGGAAGGGAGGGAGGTGGGGAGGTGGCCTTGGGTCTGGGGATGAACCCTGAAACTCAGGGAGAAGCTTCTCAGCTCAGGGGTTAGGAGGAATCCTCAAAGCTGGAAGGATGCCTCTCAACCTGGGGAGAAGCCCTCAAACCTAAGGAGAAGCCCTCAAACCTAAAGAGGAGTCCCCAGACCTGGGGAGAAGCCCTCAAACCTGGGGAGAAGCCCTGGGACCTAAAGAGAAATCCTCGAACCTGGGGAGAAGCTTCTCAGCTCAGGGGTTAGGAGGAATCCTCAACTTGGAAAGATGCGTCTCAACCTGGGGAGAAGCCCTCAAACCTAAAGAGAAGTCTTCACACCTGGGGAGAAGCTTCTCAACTCAGGGATGAGGAGAAACCCTGAAAGCTGGAAAGATGCCTCAACCTGGAGAGATGCTCTGAAACCCTGAGGGAAGCCCAAAAACGTGGGGAGATGCCTCTAAAAGCTGGGACTGGGAGATGCCTCTCCAACCTGGGAAGATGCTCTGAAACCCGGGGAAAAGCCTCTCAATCCTAAAGAGAAGCCCTCAGACCTGGGGAGATGCCTCTCGACATGGGGAGATGCTCTGGGGAAGGGCTGGCATCGGTGCCACCCCCCTGGCATCTCCAGCACGGCCCATCCCTGCCCTGCTGGCAGTGGGGAAGGGGCTGGATGGTTCCCCCCTCCCCAATTTGGAGGCCCCCCCCCCAGCCCAGGGAGGGTTAAACACCCCCCAAAACCGGGGGGACCCAGTCAGGCAGCTCTGAGTGCATAATTCATGCCAGGAACTGGCAACGTTTCCTTCCCCTTTGTCAATTATTCAGAGAATAATTATTAATTATTCAGCCCCTCTCCAAAGCAGAATAATCTGCCAAACCACAGAGGGCCCCTCAGCCCCCACAGCCTCTCCCCAAAACTGGGGTTCAGTGCAGCTTTTTAGGGGCTCAGTGCAGCTTTTTAGGGGCTCAGTGCCACTTATTAGGGGTTCAGTGCTGCTTTTTAGGGGTTCAGTGCTGCTTTTTAGGGGCTCATGTTCCTGTGACAACTGCTCCAAGCCCTGCAAGTGGTTAACAGCAGATCTCCTGCCCAAAGCCGGGATTTTGGGATCTGTGGGAAGGAAGTGCCAGCTTATTGTCTAAACCCCCCTGAGCATCTCATCACTCCTGCCCTGCCCGGGACCTGCAGGGACCTGGATGCATCTTAATGGGGTTTCTGGGGAGCTCATTAATAAAGCAGGAAAGGCCATGAAAGTTTCATGAGCAGGGGAGGAAACCGGGGGGCTGAGGGGCTGGGCAGGGGACCTGGGGCCACTTGGCATCCCCTCTGCAGGCCCTGGTGGCCCCTCAGGAGAAGCCCTGACGCCGATGTGATCCCGGGGAGGGGGGGA